GTTTTTATGGCTTCATAGGCTAAGCCTTGAACCGCGAAAACTAGAAACCGCAAAGCGCGAAGCTCCGAAGCCCTAAACCCTAAACCCTAAAACTTAAACCCTGAACCCTAAGCCCTAAACCCTAAACCTCCAACCCTACACCCTAAGCCCTAAACCTTAAACTTTGCCTTAAACCCTACACCCTAAGCCCTAAACCTTAAACTTTGCCTTAAACCCTACACCCTAAACCCTAGACCTTCAAACCTACACCCTAAGCCCTAAGCCCTAAACCTTAAACCCTACACCCTAAACCCTCAACCCTAAACCTTAGCCTTAGGGCGGGCACGGGTTTAGAGTTAGTGGTCCAGGGTTGTTTGGTTTAGGTTCTCGGTTCGTTTGGGAGCGGAAGGCTTTTAAAAAGAGTTCAAGGCACAAGCGAAATTAAGTTAAGGTTTAAGTTCTCGTTTCTGGGCTTTACGGCTCACTACTTCACGACTTGAGTTTCGATCTAAACTTCAATCCCAAACCCCAAACACTCCAAGGGTTTGTTACGGTTTGCTGTTTCTTTACCAGAACAGACTCGGATGGACTTAGATAGTAAATATCGTGAGGGTATGTGGTTGAGTTCACTCCAGAAAAAAACTGGAGCTTTGGGACTTGGTTCTTAGATGTGTTCGGGGTTTCTTACGACCCAAACTTTGCCTCTAGGAATCGAAGATGTAAACAAACAAGTCGGCTAAGCCTCCTGCACTTAAATTTTTTACAAAGCTCCCTAAACCCTAAACCCTAAACACCAGGACCTGCAGGCCTGAAGGCTTAACGGGTTCAACTGGCTTAAGCTCGAAAACATGTTTTCGCGCTGGTGCTCGTGATGCTCGGCTCTCGATCTGTAGTCGATCGATCGTGATCGATCAGCCAGCTTTCCTTTCAAAAACTTCTCCATACTCGAGGAGAGCTCGGTAACGATTGCATGTAACATAATGCATAGTCGCAGGGTGGCAGCTGGAGCATATGCGGCCAATCTCCTTCATCAAGTCTTCATCTTGATAGCAGTGCTCATACCTTGGCGGATCGGGTTAAGGCTTCTGGCTTGGAATCTCGAGTGTTCTTATGGTAATTTAGAATATTTTGAAACCAACCCGAAATATCTGCGAAATCAAATCCAAATCTCCGTGGGTTACGGGCTGTACGGTCGACATAGAACATAAGGTGAAGAAAAGAGTGGTGCTTCGGAATGACTTTGAAGTTCTTTCGAGCAGAGCCTGCGTTTTGAACTGCGATGCGTTGATAGAACATAAGGAAGCTGCGGCCCATAAGAACGGTATCCTTTTTCAGGTCTTCCTGGAAAAACGGCCCACTTACATCCATGTTGAACTGCACCTTCGCCATCGAATATGAAGCACATGTGAGGTCGTGTCGTGACTGAGGCATCGTATCCACCAAGTACGCATGCACCCAGTAGATCATTTGCTTGACCGTGTAGGCTTTGTAGCAGCTCGCTAATTCCGGGGCATGGTTCCATGCCTCTTTTCCGAAACGAATCAAGCTGAAGCGATGCCCACATGCAGCGACAGCGTTCTCGCGACACCATGCTTTGTAGTGTTTCCACACATCCGTCTGCAGTTTTTTCTGCAAGTCGCTCAGTGTCATATCACCCCCGCAGCATTGTACGATGCACTCAATCACGAGTGCAGGAATAACACAACAGGCAACTCCTTGATGCAAGACATGGAGCAAATCCTCACACTGCACAGCATATGCACAACAACACATACAGAATAGTTTTAAAAAGCACAAATACAGATTTCGCTCGCTATAGGGAAAGCCAAGGAACTTCCAAGTTTCGGTCTTTCGTCCACCCAGGAACATGTTGCCATTTTGACTGTTGCTCTGCAGGCGTCATGATCATAAACTGCGCATGTGTGAACTGAAGGTTCAAATAGCCGGCGTTGGGCGAAAAATCCTTGTAATAGAAAGGTCCATCTTTCTTGCTCGCAAGGCAGTGTTCGCATATATTGTCGTGTCTGTAGCTCCTCTGTAGCTTGTGGATATATGCCTTCGCCTCCCAGTCGCCTTTGCAACCACTGAAAGCAAATCGCCATCCGCCTGCAAAAAAAGACCCGGCAACTTTTGCCTGCAAAGATCCCTCTTCCCACGGGGCCCCCATGAAGTTTTCGACAGGGTATTTGCCAGTTTGCAACACTTTTTGGATCCATGCAATGACCTCTGCAACTCGATCGTGTGTAAATGGCTTCCAGACCAAAGCCTCTCTGACCAAAAGCAATAGTAGCTTGGATTGCATAGACGGTCCTTTCTTCAGCGCACTTGAATACGAATATATCCAGCACTTCTGCTGCTTGTAAACCCGCACACCATCCGTGTGCCAAAAGATTGGGATGGTTTTCCCCGGTTCTTGTAGTTGAAGCAACTGAACAGATTCTTCGGAAGAAAGCTTTCCCCAATACTCCTATGGACAGGCACCGACAAACAACATCAGAAACCTAGCATGCCTACACACTGAATGCACGTCAAGCTGCAGCACACTCGCCGGACAAGTGCGATGCTTGGTTACAAGCCCAGTCACACAGATGCCCGCTGTCATGCAACCAGTGCAACACATCCCAGGGCCATATAATTGAAGTAGCTTGCATGGTCTCGCAAACATCACCACCAGGCTTCTCCAGACGAAGCGGAAGTTCCACTTCTCCCATCGGAATTTTCGAGCATTTCGCATACCACCTGAAAGGAATTTCGGAGAACAAACTAATGAAGAGACTGACGAAATAAACGAACATGCCGAGATAAACCGGTCCCCCAGCCTTTGAAAAGACCTCTCTTCGTGGCCTCCTTTCCTCCAGCTCGCGAACATCTCTGCCAAGGGGCAATCCACCCCGTCCAGCAGCAAATCGCCGGCTTGCCGGCATCCATCCGTTGCATGGATTTTCTGGCGGGCACATGCACTTCACAATAGCTCATGCACATACACGTTAACACTAAGACTGGAGTCACACAATCATGTAAGGACACGGCCCCTTTGCAAATCTCTCGAATAATTCGTCGAGCAGAATGGCTCGCATGGTCAACAATAGACTTTCCTGAGCTGCATAAAACCGAAATCATGGGATTCCCAAACATATGTTGTTGTGCCAAGTTTCCGCCCAGTTCCGTCCCGGCTCCTGAGTTCTCATGAACCGATTTTAAACATATCTAAACGACAGAAGCAGCAACACAGTGCAGCCACAGATCGAAAAATGTGTTCTCGCCCCATCGACCTCGATCTGGATCGTGATCTGCGCAATCAAACACAGCACAACGGCAGGATAAGCTCGATCGTTCGACAATGTAGCTTGGGTGGGACAAACACTGTCGACCGTATTTTTGAAGCTCTCACTGCTCGCTGCTCGGAACCATAAACATCGTGTGGGCTTGAGTCCATCTACCCGGGCGCGTATTGCACAGCCATCCAGCAGCACTATAGCTCACGGCGTTCAAATCATTGTGTGAATATTCTTTGTGATGAACGATCAAAACCCGTCAGCGTGCAGTGCTCGAAAACCCACGGCTTCTAAGCAACAGCAACCAGGGGACTGCAGCCACAAGTTGAAGCATAATGCCCATTTTGGCAGCTTCACTTTGGCTTTGGAGAACCTTCCGCGCCCTTACCCCCTGAGCCTTTCCCCGGGGAGGCCGACTTTGGCTTTGATGACTTTGCACTAGCCCGAATCAAGGCTTTGGCCAAATCCACCCGCTCTTTGGCCAACTTCTGCAGCTCCTGAACCTAATGCACAGAAACATCTAGCAACACAACATGCCATGCACTTCACTCCCGAATCGAGCCTCTCCAGTCACCTGTGCATAATGCTTCTTCTTGTTCTTCTTCGCCGCAATCAGCTTCTGCAGAATTTTGGCCTGTATGGAAAACACATTAAGATTATATCATAACTCACAAACGAACACCACCGCACACGGCCTTTGCCGTCAGTGACACCTCCACAGCCTTCAGCTGTGATATAAGTGGTCCCGACATTCTCAGCGGGGCCAGCTTGAAAGCATTTTCCCTTAGGTTGTGGTTTCATTTCAAACATACATCAAAACACAACTCACAACCAATAAATGCGAACCCAGAAGCCGGCAAGTGTTGCTATCTTTCAGAACCACATGCTGCAACGCCTTGGCATCGTCGATCGGCTCGTTGGGCTTCAGCTCCTGAGCACCATGAAAACACATCGCACGGGCACGGGCTGGGTGACAACTACGTGGATGGGGGGGGGGGGGCCTTCGCGTCTTCTTTGCCATTGTCTTTCTTTTTCTTTCGGTTGTTCTGCTTGCCTCCGCCCTTGTTGAGCTGGGACAGCTCCAAAGCTTTGTTCATGGCCGCTTGACTGCCCTTTCCATCTGCGCTCGCAAGCTGTGCCTTTGGGTCCAGGACTCCACCTGCCTCGGATGCAAGCTGCACACATGTGTTTATATGGATACTATACACAGACAAGCAGAACGTAAATTTTCTTTAGCAGCCAAACCTTGGTGAAGGCTGCCAGAGTTTCTGAATCTACACCTCCACTCAACTCCAGCTTCGTTATGCGTTTCAGCTCGCGGATATCATCGATATTGATCTCGACAAACACGAAATACAGCTTGTCTTCCGGTGACTCCGGATCGGTGATCGTCCTTAAATCGCATGCATCTCAAAAACTGGAAATCAGCTAGAATCTAGAACGAACATTCGTGGCGTGCAAATTGGTAACAAGTCACAAGCCTTGGTCAACCTTCCTTTTCATGATGCGTTCGGCTTTGCTATCTCCATGCATCTTCTTGATCCACTGCTCGGACCTAAACCCATAGCGAATTTTCGACCTCTGCTGTTCACACAGCATCTGTTCGTGCTTCAGGAGGATCTGCTCCACCTTCCCCCCGGCCTCTATGTAGTCTCTGAAGAGATTGGCCCTTCCATCTTCCGTTTCAATCCTACCAACAAGTGCCTGGGGGAATCGTTTGCGGTTCTTGATCCAGCGTTTGTATCTCAAGTATTCTGTGTGATGCGTACTGGAGTTTATGGTTTGCAACTTCTTCTCTGCCTTGGCCAACTTCTTCTTCTGCTTGGCTCCCTTCTCTTTCTTCTTCGTCTTGACTGCACTCTTTGCATCACTCTTTCCCTCCCCTGCATCTTTGGTAGCCTTGTCTTTGGGTTTCTCCTCCTGGTCTTTGGATTTCTCCTCCTGGTCTTTGATTGCCAACTGGGGGGCATTGCCTTTCAGCTTCTTTGCAACATTGGTGGAACCTTCACCCTTCCTTTTTGATCCTGACTTTTCTTCTTTGGGCTTGGCCTCCTCCTCTTCCTTTGCCTCATTCTTCTTCGCTTTTTTCAGCTTGGCCTCCTCACTTTCCTTTGCCTTATCCTTCTTGGATTTTGTGGGCTTGGCCTCCTCCTCTTCCTCTGCCTCATTCTTCTTCGCTTTTTTGGGCTTGGCCTCTTCACCTTCCTTTGCCTTATCCTTCTTTGCTTGTGCGGGCTTGGCCTCCTCCTCTTCCTTTGCCTTATCCTTCTTCGCTTTTTTGGGCTTCTCCTCCTTTGCTGCCTCATCCTTCCGCGCTTTTCTGGTCTTGGCCTCCTCCTTTTCCTTTGCCTCATTCTTCTTCGCTTTTTTAGGCTTGGCTTCCTCCTCCTCCTCTTCCTTTGCCGCGTTCTTCTTCGCTTTTTTAGGCTTGGCTTCCTCCTCCTCGTCTTCCTTTGCCTTATCCTTCTTCGCTTTTGTGGGCTTCTCCGCCTCCTTTGTTGTCTCCTCCGTCTGGACTTCGTCTTTCGGCTTCTTCTTGAAGAACTGCTCCACGGTCGCCGTCTGCAGCTTCGCATTGGAAGCCTTACCTGACTCCTTGCTTTGTCGAGCCTCCTGCTGCTCGTCCTCTTCCGATCCTTCTTCTTCTGTTGACATTTCCTCTTCCTCTTCTTCCTCCTCCTCTCCTTCATCTGCATCGATCTCTTCATCCTCTTCTGCGTCTTCTTCTTCTGCATCTTCTATCTCCTCGGCATCCTCTTCGGAGATGCTTTGCTTGACTTCCTGAGAATCCTCGTCCAAGCTTTCCTGGGCATCCTCTTCGCCTTCCTCCTGCTGCTCTTCCTCTGATCCTTCACCGTCTTCGGATTCTCCTTCGCTCTCTTCTTCCTTACTCTCTCGGCTCTCTTCGTCCTTTGCTTCGTCGTCTGTTTCCTCATCATTCATATCGTCTTCGCTCTGCTCCTGTATATACTATATCTTAAGGTACTATATATATGGGCATATGTGTTTATGTATATACGAGAGTGTGTGTGTGTGTGTATGTGTGTATACACATAGTGTGGCTAAGGCCTCTGACGAAGTCTCGTTTTGCTCTTCGTTGTCCTTTTCGGCAGAGAGATCCGCCAAAATCTTGTCCGCTTTGCTTTCTGTCATCGGGCTTTCGGCTTTCTTATGGGTTCTTCTCGGGGGTGTTGTCTCGATTTTCTTAACATCATCTGCTTCACTGAAGCTGAGGCGTCGCTGTGGTCCTGGGTCCTTAGTCGAGCTGCCACCAGGTTTCCTCAGTATGGGCGACGGGGTCTTCAAACTGAGTCCTGACCGGCTGCAACCAGAGTCGCTTGGCGATTTCTTGGTTGCAGCTTTCAACCTCTTGGTGGACACGGGGCCCTTGGATCGCATCCTCCTCTTCGGGGATAAAAACTTCTTCACCATCCGGCTCTCTAGGGAGCAAAACACAGAAAACCTTCGATCGAGCCCACATATCGACATGTTTCGTTGAATTGCTGCTATCTGAATAGTGCATGACGGGGCAAAGCCTTGCACCTAGGCTGCACACAAGCTCTACAGTATTTTCCCCAGAGCATATCTCGTCCAAGCTTGCCTTCGAACTAGCCGATTCAGTTCCTACGGTTGGTTTCTAAGTCGATTGCTGCTTCGGCCGAAGAAATTATTGCTTTTATTCGTTATTATTGGGTTTTTGTGGGTTTTATTGCTTGGGTTTTAATGATTCATTGACATCCAATAAACCCAATAATTTTATCGGGGTTTTATTGGGGTTTTATTGCTTTTTTATCGCTTTATCGGTTTTTAGGTTTTGGGCAGGAATTGATTTTTTTTGGTAGATTTTGGGCAGGAATTGAAACTTCATGGAAAGTTTCTCGCTGTTTTGGAACCAGGAAGGCAAAACTACGGATTGCAAGGCTATGTCTTTGATTTTGGTTACCCCATCACTTATCTAAAGCTACGGTCGAGCAGCCGGCTGCATCTCAGAATCAGTCCAGGCCATTCAGGCATCGCAGGACTTGCTTGAAATCTGCATATTTCGCCCAACCAGGGTCCTTAGATTATTTGCACATGCAGCAGGGCAGACATACACCCATACACACACATATATATATATAGACACACCCACATCCCTGTATGTACTGGGGAATGCAAACATATGTACATACATGTGTCTATATATATATATATAGAGCTATATAACTAGCTATATACATATGTGGATCATGCATATACACCTACATATGTTTTGCCCGGTGGGCAGCATATTGGGCAGCCCCGGATCCATGGAATGTACAAACCAGATATATAAGAATATTTAGACAGAGATGCTATATAGGTATAACCGAAGTTAAGCTAGTCCCACGGGGGGCTAAAGCGATAAAGCGCTAAAGCGATAAAGCGCTAAAGCGATAAAGCGCTAAAGCGATAAAGCGCTAAAGCGATACACAGCTAAAGGTACTTTTTCATTAAGTATATTTATAAATATAAATATAAATATATATATATATATGTATACTATATTTATATAATATTATTGAACCGGAAACCTTTGACTCTGTGGACCCCATATAGAAGTCTACATATACGTAAATATATGTTTTGTATATATATATATATATATACATAGATTTATATTTATAGGTACATATTTATGTAGCACTTGAAGATATGCATGTGCGTACACTTATGCACACACATACACCCATTCACCCAAGTACGTATCAACATATATATAAATATATATATATATACAAACACATACATACACACCTGCACTAGTTCCATGCCTGACATGCAATACATGCATATATATTTTCAATACACAATACCTCCTTTCTGTACTTAACACACGTGTTACAGGCATAAACACATAAAATTACACACACACACATATTATACATAACTAACTTATAAGTAATGTGCACACCCACATGACATGCACATATTAAAAGCCCAGAACCCCGCCGACTTCCATATAAGTCGCTTTCATCTTCTCGAGCTTGTCACATCGCATCAGTTCGTGCCTCAGCTTCACTCACATACACCATGCATACGGATCGAGCATGCGTGACTTCGATGCATAAAAGAGTCTTGCGTTCTCGCACACACGAAACGAACTCGTCCTCAATCATGCACTAACGGTTTCGCAGCAAAAAACAAGCCATGTGTGCATCGATGTCACATCAGCAGAACGAGACAGAGAATATAAGAGAGAGAAAGAGAGAGAGACACCGAGAGATTGATTGAGGGCATCGAGAGCTCGGGTCCTTGTGTCGCAAGTACATTTCGGCCACCGCCGTGCCGAATCGTGGGGGATAGTGCTGCGAAGCTTTCAACATATCTGGGCTACCATAGACTCGTTCGACTCCATCTTCCCCCACTTTCCTTGAATCGAATGCACTCAAACGGCAAAGCACAGAACCCTCAGCAACTGGAGACAGCTAGCAGCAAGAAGCCTTGTACAAAGCTCCGTGGAGAAGCACACATTGTCTGGCAGCGGGATGTTCAACTCCGATATGTACTTGTAGTTGCTGTAGATAAATGTTGGCTTCAAGCCTCGAGGTTTCAAGGCTTGGGCTTTGCTCAAAAGTCTGTTGTGATCGACCATGGCATGCATACATCCAAGCAACTGTCGCCACCATAGGCACCCATAAACATGTAAACCTCGGTCGTATAAGTCGGGAGTGTACACTCATGACCGCACGTGTTTAGCTGATATGACTGCGAGGCCAAGCAGCCCGATAAATTGTGAACTTCTTCAAGATATAGGAGAATAGAGGGTGTGCTTCCAGCAAACTAGAAGCAGGCTGCTCGATGCACCACGGCAATCGTAGGGAGCTCAGCACCAAAAGATAAACACATGTGCGGGCCACCATTTTGTTCCTTGGTTCGCTCGAACTATTGATAACAAACAAACCTATACTCGAGAATCACGAAGCATGCAACGTTGCCGACACACGATTTTGCACTCGAACGTCCCCTCGAGACTGTTGCCGTCTGCACACAGATAGCGGTTTCAAATCTGTAGGGCGTCCGCTTAAGCACACGAGTACTGTGCTGCATGCCCCATCAGAACCAAAACTAAATTGAAGAGTGCACTGCAATTTGTGGCACCCTGACCCGTGGAGCACTTTGTGCTCATGATCACTTGGAGACCACCCTCCCCAGAGCATGGTTCAGCTGCTCCCATGCCTCCTTCACACCAATCCGCAAAGAGATCCTTACCATGAAACATATGGGCACACATTCACAAATCGTCCGTGACATCATGCTTGAGCTTAGAAACGATCTTCCATGTTCTTGATCCACTCCCTTGGGCTTCAATGCTTTCTGCCGAAGCAAGATCTCGCACTTGTACTTGTTGTCCAGTAGCCTCAGGTATTTGACTTCCCAGACCCAGGCAACACATCTCAAACACACAGCTTGACACAAACTATCATCCATGTTTCCCACCGATGAAGCTTGCACACTGTAAGGATTTCAAACTTTTCGCCCAGCAACACAGTATACGAGTGCTGGCCGTGGACGACACTCGTCGGCTGAAGCTCTCGAGGCAGCCCCTTAATCATGGCATGGTACTCCGGCAGGAAGCTTTGCATCAGCTCGCCGAGCGGTTCCACATCACCTCGACTTGCCATCATGCGTTCGACTACACCCCACACAACCAATACCATCAAATATTGCATGTGGTTAAACCAAAATGCAGAAAAGCCACCCGCGGTTGCTGGCTTTGTCCCGGGCTTTGAGGGGGAAGGTTTCTTGGCTGAGGTACCGGACTTCTCGGGGATATCGGACTTGTCGGGCTTTGAGGGGGAAGCTTTGGGATTCTTCGAATCGTCCGGCTCGGCCTTGGTCTTCAAGTTCTGCAAAAGCAGCTGTCGCCTGCGGCTTTTCGTAATCTTCTTCTTTGCTGTTTTCTTCGGCTTGTCATCTCCTTTACCGATACTGCAAGGTCAAGATTCGGCTGGCATGCATGGCACGCACTTTTCGAGCCCACGAGGCCTGCAACTGGAACAGGCTTCGGGGGATCAGCCCAAATATTCTTCACGGCTTCGTCAAATCCTTCAACAGGTGCAGGGCAAAGATGAACGGGTCTGTCCTCAACCACATGGCTTTCGCCTTGATCCTCCAGATCAGCTTTAGCTTCAGGCTCCTCCTGTCGGGGAAACATATATATATATATACACACACATCAACCATACAAACTTTGCAGCTGTGCTCCCGCTAGCCGCTAGCCTCGGAGATCGCATACTCCGGGTGCTCCTTAAGTATTGCATCCCAATCGAAGCTTTCGGCCGTGAAGTGCTCCTTCTCGGCATCGTCAGCGTCCGGATCCCACTGCTCAAACCGATCACTGGGTTCATCATCCGCAGCTGCTGGCTTTTCACCATCGGCAACAGGCTTGCTCCCACTCATGAAATTAAAGATGCTCTCCCCGTTCATGGAATTCCTCAGCATGCCGGCAGACACCATCGTTTCGGAGTCGCTGGACTCCTCTTCCGACGAGGGGTGGCGCTTCAGATTCCGATTACAAACCATAGCTGCCTCCTCATCCGAGGCCTCCAGAGGCTGCACTCGGTCGCTTCGGCTCTTCTTCCGATTACAACCCGCAGCTGCCTCCTCATCCGAGTCCTCTGAGGACTCCAGCAATGATCGGGGGCTCCGGCTCCTCGACTTCGAAACCTCTTTGCCCGATGGGCTGCTGCGGTTCCTCACCCTCATACAGTCAACGACCGGAGTGGCCACCGGCCGCCCCTCAGGTGGAGCCTGACATGCTGAATGAAACACAATGCACATATACATGTACTTCATTGCACACATACACACACACACACACGCACGCGCACACACGCACACACACACACACATCTGATGCCCACAGGTGGCTTTTCGCATTTTATCCTTCATCTCCTGGATGTGGTAGTGCCGGGACTTGCCCGGAGTATTCGACCACATCTTTCTCATCTTCGACCACAAAGCCCGGATGCGGGAGACCTGGACGACATACTCATCATCGAGTTCCTGGGTTTGCAGCTGCATGTCAAGCAACGTTGCTCTGCATTCGATCTGCACTCATGCTCGGCCTAAAATTTCCATCTCCAAGCAGCTTCAGGCTTGGCAGCCCGAATTGCCAAGTTCTGCAAGCGGCCAAGCTTCCGAAACACAAAAAGGTCACGTGAGTTGCACATACCTGCATGTGGGATTTATTCGGGGTCCTTGAGCTTTGCATTGAAGGTTTCCAGCACCACCTGCACCTCGTATATAGAAGGTGAGCGAACTTGCCAATCTTCCATATCCAAGAACCGATTCAAAATCCATCGGTTCTCCAACCTCAACCGAATGATCATGATGCTCGCCCCAAACTGCATGGACATGCGTGGCTCTGTGTGTGATGCGTCAGAATCTAAGTGCGAGTCAACCAAGTTTCGGGAGACTTCTTGGCATTCGGGCGATCCGTCACGAGCGGTTCGTTCGGCTCGCCAACGGGGGTGCACAGTGCATCCTTCATATGCTCCGGCAGGCTTTCGGCCATCTTCTGGCCAAATTCGACCAACTGCGACAACCGCAGTCTTGCTTCAACATCGCCGCCAGCATCGGAACCCATAGCTTCAAGTCAAAAGTAAGCGCTTCGCTTTGACGCAAAATGCTAGCAACATGTCTCGATGAGCTATACAAGAAAATTGCTTTGTGTGCTTCCGCAACAGAAACATGAACTTATTGCAACCGAAGCTCGCAGCACGGACTTGATCGCGGCTCATATCTCCCAGAGGAAAAGCTCGGCTCCGTCCACTTGTCGACCTGCATAGTTGACGAGTTGCTTATATTTATCCCGAAACCCGCTGATCACTCGAAATGCTCTTGATGCCGGCGCCTGTTCACCCAGACCCATGTGGAACATACCGGAGCTTCGAAATCTAACCCAGCCTCACATATATCACACGACATGCATGCAACACAGTCGCACCAAATTTGCAATGCCGTGCCACACATGAATAACTGACCAAGCTACATTTCGATACAGTCGCAGCGTGAGAGCCAGCCCATATGCAAAGCCGAGGCCCGATAGTATATCTTCAGTCAAGGGAGAATCGGTCATCTCGAAGCTGGCCGATCTGAGCCCCACCTTCCTGGCGGGATGTATTACTGTATGTGTTACGTAGCTTAAAGGTATCAGTCCTGAAGGCCCTCGCAATTGTCTTCACACCAGCGTACTTTTCCACTGCATCAAGGGCCTTAGAATACATAAGAATGTGCATAAGGTGTTGTGTGTCATGCTCGGCTGCAGTTCAGAAGCGAGGGATGGCATGGTCATATGTTGCATAACCGTGGTCACGACCATCAAGACAGAGGCTGGAAGTCCAGCCAAAACCAAACATTGTAGCCTGGGCCGCAAGAACACGACTTGTAATGCAAACTTTACCAAGCTTGTATATCTTTAGGGTCTTGCACGAGCAGTTTTATGTAGTTGATGTGCCTCAGAGATGCACGAAGCTTAGCCTCCAAGCCATCTTGGACCATCCGGAAGCTTGAGACCCTTACACCTTAACCCAGAACAACCGAGAACCCTAAATAAAGCCCCTAATCCTACACACCCTGTAAGGCGACAAGACATAAATCCCACAAGACGCTCAACTTAAAAACTTACTTGAAAAAGCCGGCAAAGAGGAAAGCTTCGAACCAACACCCTAGACAGTCTATATCCGTATATGGGAGCAGCGTAAGCCCGATCCCTATGAGCCTTAAACTCGCAACTGAAAGGCCTACCCTAAGACCTGTAATCCTTAGAAGCCCCAAACCTGCAAAAGCTATCAACTTTACATGTTGCCTGCCACCCTAAATCTTAACCTCAAAGTCTCAGCCCTAACCTACTGGCTCAAACTTTGGCTCAAGGCAACAGCCCCATGCAATGCATGGCAAGCAACAGCCCTGCAAGCGGTTTCGGCACATCGCTGCAAAGAGGGACTTCGGGCTTCGCTTGCCTTCGAAGCTTCAGCCTCTGCTTTCGACTGATATTCGGCTTCCTCATCGCTCGGCTCTCTACTCTTCTATATAGAGCAGCCCAAAGTTGCGAAAAACATGAGTCACATGCGTGGAACTGCGCTTCATCGAGTATCGAAATGGTGCAATGCGCTTAAACAGGCAAAGCCGAGCACTCACGACGGAGGAGGGCGTACCTTCGCCGCCGTTCGGCTTCAAGCATCCGGCCTGTATGGCCCAAGCACAAAAAAACAAACTCTTATTTCCCTGAGTGTTGACCGCGT